ACATCTATAAAGCAGTTATTAGAACACATCAACTACATCATTTGGAAATTAGCTATTTATATTAAGCATGCCCATCTGATACACCGAAAACGTATTGACGGAAAAATTTCTAAAGAATTTTTATTCGAAAATGAAATCTATGAAATATTATTATATCCTGTTGACGGTGGGCCTTTAATAAATCGCTTTAATTCTCTCTTAGTCCTTTAACTTAGGTCTCACCAGAAGGGAACGTTAAAGAATCATCCTTTCCCACTGTAAAAAAAAATTTAGTACAATTTAGAAACGAGCTAATTCTGTCTATCGGTCGTCAAAAATATATTGGATTTAGATATACGGGGTTCATAGGTCGCGCTGTCTCGTTTTGGAATTCCACCCTAAAGCTACGGTTTCCTAGAAAAGCGGCGCCGTTAACTAACGGCCGTCTTTACGGTGGCCAAGCTGTGGTTTCCTAGAAAGTAGTGCGACCGCATTCAATCGTAGTCACTCAGTACACACTCGAGCGTAGGTCGTGCACTGGTTAAAAATGGACGATTTGGACATAGCATTATTAGTATTTTTGGATGATGAAGAGTCATCAGAAGACGAAAAAAAGTGAAATTCCAGTTTTTCCACAAATTTTGCTTCATCTGAGCTTGTCTGTCCTCTTTGGATTTGATATTGTACAAAGCTTCATGATCTTTAACAAAATCAATTAATTGTTCATCATTTTCGCTCGTCCAAGTCATTGTATTAATTAAATATGCGCACCGCTACACGCGAAATACGTTGAACTACTGTTTATCACCGCTATGACGGCCGTCATGCAAATGACAGCACCGCTATTTGACGTTACGGTGACACTCTAAATAACACCTACTCCGATAATATTTATAGACAACGTATGGGTGACGTCACCCAACGTTACATTACGGCCGTTAGATGACGGCATCTCTTTTCTAGGAAACCGTAGCTTTACACTTCTTTCTAAACCATTTTTATTATAGTGACATCTACAATATGTGGCTACAATCACTACGATGACGTCCTAAATCGCGCTATCGAAATATTTCCCTGTCCTTCAGGTCAACAGTGATATGCCATTGAAAAAAACTACTGGATTAGACAAGTTAAGTTCTGTTGACAGCGAACTAGTTTTTTTTTCTACTAGTTCTACTCTTTCCTCACTTTGAAGGTGTTCACGCAATGCACGACGTTTAAAGACCGATTCAAAATGTCGTTTGAGTATATACTAATTAACGATTTGACGATAAACTAGTTTGTCCGTTTCGTTAAAAAAATCATTATATAAACTGTTTGTTTACTTAACGACTACTATAATGTGTCCTGATTAGTATATATCTGAACATTTACATATAGATCAGAGTCATCATACTGAAGAGTCATAGATGCCCATTGAAGACTAAAAAACTAATGTTAAATTAGTCCGTTTTTCATAACAATAAATATATTTTGAAAGTCTAGTGTATTCGTAATCGCAATAATAATAAATATTAAAATTTAAGTACCATCAGACCATAGCAGATATCTGGCAGCTGATTCGGCCATGTCAATGCCTTCATCATGAGAGGCAGGACGCACCGTGCTTGGGTGTTCGTATGTTCTGGGATGACTGGCGTTGGAATCTGGAATATATAAATTACAATAAAAATATATTGTTTAGTTAGAAACGGCAGATAAACAAACGAACAAAACTCAATAAATATTTTTTTAGCAGTTCTTGGAATTTATAATATTAGTTTTTCTTAAATTAACATTTTTTTTGTTTTGTATATGTGCTGCTTGTTTCCTTTAAAACAAATTATTAAATCAGTAAAAATATATTCGCATGGTCCAGGCACGACCTGGAGCAACAAATGCAGATGACTGTAGACCGCAACGGCCTACAGGACATGTTAATAAAGCACAGATCGTGCCTGGAACGGTTCTGCGAAATTTTTTTGACGTGACAACGTCTTATAATTCGATGGAGCCGGCTGCACGCACGAAAAAACATGACTCATGCGGCGTTACTTTGCTCTGAGGCGTTACCTCTCTCTGAGGCGTTCCTTCGCTCTGAGGCGTTACCTCTCTCTGAGGCGTTCCATTTAAGGCTAGAAGTGCAAGCGAGAGCGCCGAACGACAAAGAGGCACAATCGCCCTCCGCGTTTGGCAGCGTTCGACATCTGTCATTCTCTTACTTAAGTGAACGATGCGTCCACGTGGAGAGCTGCTATACAAAAATACATTTAAATGTTTTGATCGAGTGTCAAGTGCAGTGAAAAGTGAATGTGGTGTCAATTGTTTATAGCAACGATAATTACAGCGATAAAGGTAATGATTCTTTCGATATTAATTATATATTCAGTGATATATTGTCGAATATTCGTGCTTTCATCATTAAAATGAATAGCATCGGTCCGCTAGTGCAGCGATTGTGTAGGCGGGCTTTTTAAAAACTAGATTTACGAAAATTTTAATGTTTCCAAATTTTAAATGTAAGATTTATAAACAATAATTTAATAATTGTTTATTCTTATAATGAATTATTTAAAATTATTACTTTTTATAACAAATTACAATTAAATTTGCAAAAATAATTAAGTAACTAATTGAAAAAATTTAATTATATTATTAAAATAATAAAATCAAAATTTAAATTTTAACAATTGAGTAGAAATTTAAACAATAAATTTTATTCAAGTATTTTGTTGTATTTTTATTTTTTAAATTTAAAATGATTTTCTGAATGATAAATTTTATGATTTTTTTTTTTTTAAATTGTTTCGAACGACGATTTATTTTGCAGAACCGCTTACAATCCCACCATGGAAAAAAAGCCTGACGAACCAGAGGATGTCACGAATAAGCCACTACCTTCGATGAGTGAACCCATGGAGGTTCAAGATGCTGTAGCATCTACTTTAGCAACGCCATTCGCGCAGCCAACAATCACTGCTTCAAAATCGAAAGCCCAAAAACAACGTGAGTACAGACAGCGTATCACAGCATCTAGAACTCCTGCTCAGGCGGCTGCTGCGAGAAAATCGAAAAACGATAGACAACGCAACAACAGACTACGCCAAGCTGCTAACTTGGTTATTGCCAGTAATTCTCTTGAAACGACAACTACATCTCCATCTCGTTCAGGGGAAGAGTCGGACAATGTCCAAACTAGAAGTCAACGACAACACGCGCAACAACAATCTACCACCACTGCAGATCAACCTGATGAGCGTGTCAATCTCACAAATGAGCCACTCTTTCCTGCAATTCCTGTTCCGATGGAGGTTCAAGATGCTGTAGAATCTACTTTAGCAACGCCATTCGCGCAGCCAATAATCACTGCTTCAAAATCGAAAGCCCAAAAACAACGTGAGTACAGACAGCGTATCACAGCATCTAGAACTCCTGCTCAGGCGGCTGCTGCGAGAAAATCGAAAAACGAAAGACAACGCAACAACAGATTACGCCAAGCTCCTAACTTGGCTATTGCCAGTAATTCTCTTGAAACGACAACTACATCTTCATCTCGTTCAGGGGAAGAGTCGAACAATGTCCAAACTAGAAGTCAACGACAACACGCGCAACAACAATCTACCACCACTGCAGATCAACCTGATGAGCGTGTCAATCTCACAAATGAGCCACTCTTTCCTGCAATTCCTGTTCCCATGGAGGTTCAAGAAGCTGTTGCATCTACCTCTGCGACGCTATTTGCAGAACCAACAACAAGGGCACAAATACAACGTGAGTATAGACAGCGGATTGCTGCATCCAAAACTCCTGCACAGGCAGCAGCTGCAAGAGAAGCACGTAATGTAAGAGATCGAAACAACAGATTACGCCAAGCTGCTAACTTGGTTATTGCCGGTGGTTCTCTAGAAGCGACAACTAGATCCTCATCTCGTTCAGGGCAAAGGTTAAACACCGTTCATATTGATACTCAACGACAATTTACCGACCAACAACGTCAAACTTTAGCAACAGAACCAGCAGAAACTACTGTACAACCAAGTACTTCTTCAGATCAAATTGAAGTTCAAGCACAATCTACTTGGAACACTAAATGGTCATCATCAATCATAAGATTCAAATCTACTTTTTTGGACAACGATTTTGGCTACGCTTGCTCGGTCTGTGACAGACTTTGGTTTAGAAACGACCTTAAATCCATCACTGCAGCACAGCTGAAGGTAATTTCGGATTGGTTTGTCAAAGAAAATCGACAACTGAGCAGCGAAGAATATGAACTGGTTTGCAACACTTGCAAAAAGTCACTAAACAAACAATCGATGCCACCGCTAGCAAAAGTTAATGGATTCTCATATCCTGACCCACCACCAGGCCTACCACCGTTAGATCCCATCAGTGAACGATTGATTTCGCCTCGTCTACCATTTATGCAAGTGCGTCGTCTGCGCCATGATTTCTCTTATGGAATCATAGGACAAGTGATAAACGTACCAGTCGACGTTCAAGAAATGGTAAAATGTTTGCCGCGACAATTGGATGAGGACGAAGTTATTAATGTAAACATTAAAAGAAACCTTGCCCACAAATCTGTTTACATTAGCGGATACATGTCCAAAAGTACAGTTACTTCGTGGTTAACTGTTCTGCAGAACTCTCCATTATATCGTTTGTATGAAATTAAAGTGGACTTGTCGAGACTGAATCATGCTTTGCCGGACTTCGATGACGTAGAGGATGACCCGTCAAACCGTATAGAAAATATCTCCGCAGAACAGAATCCTGAATCTGAAATTCTCGCTTCAAGACAACATACCGTGATGTGGAACGTAGAAGATTGTCTCAATATCGCACCAGGACACCGGGCAACTCCCCTCAACATTATTTACGACCGTCATGCAGAAGAGTTGTCATTCCCATCAATATACTATGGAAATCCACGTCGATTCCACATGGGAGTTTCAGTGACACCTTACATGATGGCAACCAGTGAAATACGACGAAGCGACAGACGCGGAGCCACGCCTCAAAAAATCTTGTACGTAGCAATGAAAATTTTGCGGCTACGTATGGTGGATGGAATTTACAGCACGTTTCGCAGCGTTTCAGTCACAGAAAATGTTACACGTCGTATGTTAGAACACCCAGAATTTCTGAAAGAATATGTCTTACAAAACCTCGCATTCATGAAGACAGTGCCAAACTCCGTCCAATACTGGGCTTCTCGCAAACGTGACCTCTTTGCCATGATTCGTCAACTTGGTAAACCAACCATCTTTCTCACTATAAGTGCAAACGAAATACGATGGATGAAGTTGCTTTCTATACTTCTCAGACTGAGCAATAAATATCCTGGAAAATCAGCAGGAGATCTCAACACTTCCGAGCGCTGTACTTTAGTTAGTGACGATCCTGTGACGTGCTGCATTTACTTCTACAAGCTCGTCGGTTCCTTGATGAAAATGCTGGAATCCAAACAGTCCTATAATCCATTCGGAGAGTATTTTGTTAGAGATTACTTCATTCGTTTTGAGTTCCAGCATCGAGGAAGCCCCCACGCACACATTTTATTTTGGTTAAACAACGACCCACATGAAACCCCGTCAGAATATATGCCAAAAACCATTGAGCTCGTAGATAAATTGAGTACGGTAGCCCGGAATGATGTACCTAACAATTCCATCTACGCAAACCAGATACACAGACATACTTTCACATGCACGAAGCGAGGTGAGACAATTTGTAGATTCGGAATTCCGTACTGGCCAATGTCTACGACTTGTGTATTAGTTCCAATGCCTCAATCTGATAAACGCCGTCGAACACTACAACAGAAGGCGAAAGAGCTGCGTACTTCACTCGATGAACGTCGGTACGCGGGCATGGATTACTTTCTTGGAGCTAATGGTTTGACACACGATTCATACCTTGACATTGTGCGCTCAACGTTACGCAGACCAACTCTTCTGTTCAGACGAAACTTAGACGAACTTATGACAAACACGTTCAATCCGTACATCGCTGGTGAAGTCAACTCAAACATCGACATTCAATTTATCTTGGATGAATACAGCTGCGCAGAGTATGTTGTGGAGTACGTAAATAAATCAGCTCGTGGAATGGGCAATCTACGTCGTGAGCTTACTACGATGATGCAAGAGCATCCCGAACGGGACTATACAGACCAGTTGAAAGCTTTAAGCATCAAGCTGCTTAACGCTGTCGAGATGTCAGCGCAAGAAGCAGCATGGTATCTCCTACGTCAACCAATGAGCGAGACAAGTCGTCAAGTTGCGTACATTCCAACAGTATGGCCGACGGAAAGACAACGTTGCCGCAAACGTCGTCAACAAATGGACCGCGAAGGGCTTGACGAAAACAGTACTGATGTCTGGACCAAAAACATAATTCAGCGCTATGAAGAGCGTCCTGCATCTTTAGAACAAGTGTATTTAGCTGAGTTTGCATCGTGGTATGCTAAAGCTAATGATTTCGTTGACGAGGAGGACGACGTGCACGTGGATGGCGAAGAAGATCTAGAAAATGAACCCGTAGCAAGAATGTCAAGAGCACGAAATCAATACCGCAAACGACTAATCGGACGCGTTATACGGTACAGACATTACGACATGGACGAAACTGTCAATTATAAACGAGAAATGGTTCTATTATACGTACAATTCCGCAACGAAATGTTAGAAATTGTTGATCAAAATAAATTTCTCCAATTATTTGACGACAACAAAGACGCGATCATGGAACGCCGTAGTCAATTCGAGTCTAATTTGAACATTGAAAACGTCATGAGAGAACTTGAAGCGATGATGATTTTGCAAAACGAAGACAACAGTAATTTACGGGAAGAAGAATCCAGAACAGCCTTTGTTCAACAGTTGTTAGGAGAGGATGGTGCCGAAAACGTCGATGATGTTCACCAAATCGTCTCACGACAAGGATTCTCGATTGTAAAGAAACGCAGCAATGTAATGTCAAAGCAACAGTATTGTGAACTTGTACGAACAACTAATCCGGAACAACGACAGATCATTCTTGAGGTTATACATCGATTGCATGGTTGTGGAGATTACACTTCTGAAGCAGTTCAAATTTTCTTCACGGGTCCTGCAGGCTGTGGAAAAACTTACACGTTAAAGTGCCTCATGGAGACATACAACCGCTACACTCAGGAGCACAACTCAATGAACAACGCCTACATTGCCTGTGCAAGCACAGGTAAAGCCGCTGTACCTCTTGGTGGCACTACAGTCCATTCAGCGTTTCGTCTCACAACTTCTCGCGTGACGAAACTCTTATCCACAGAAAGTTTGCAAGCTTACAGAAACATGTTAGTAGGCGTCAAAGCTGTGTTCATCGACGAGATCAGCATGTTAAGTTCAGCTATTCTTCAACAAGTTAACTACCGATTGCAGCAGATTACTGGCATATACGACAAACCTTTCGGAGACATTCACGTTATATTATGTGGAGATTTCAGACAGCTTCCACCTGTACGAGCAACTCCATGTTATACTATGCCGATCAATCAATTAGGAGGTCCGATTCTTTGGCACAGCATTGATTACTTCCCACTGGTTCGTGTTGTGCGACAAACCGATGAGCGGTTTTCAACGATTCTAACAAAAATCGGCGATGGACTTCAACTAAGCAACGATAATATCTCCCTTATTGAGTCCAGACATAGAACTCAGGCTTGGTGCAAGGAAAACGTGCCTGATGCTGTCAGGCTGTATTATAGTAACAATGAAGTGGATTCGTACAACCGAAGCGCAATTCTAAATGCATACAACTGTCTCGCACATGATATTATGCTTGGTTATTCAAGTGAACAAGAGAAGAGACAATATCAAGGTAAACTACACAAGATGACAGTGGCAGAAACCGATGGATTACCGTACCTGCTGCCATTGGCAGAAGGATATCCCTACATGATAACTTCTAACATAGATGTCGCTGATGGGTTAGTAAATGGATCTATTGGTGTCTTGCGACATATCGAACGTCAGCAGTCAAATGTAGATGACAATTCTGCAGAAGCAGGACCATCGACCAGTACAACTTCGCCAGCAGCTAGAGAAGAAATTGTTACTTTATGGTTCGAGTTTCCAGAAGAAACAATAGGAACCACAGCCAAAGTTAAATGTCGACCTCACGTGCAAAGCAAGCCAAATACTTTGTCTACAAACTGGGTACCAGTTTATAAGAAAATAGTAAACATTACACTAACAAAAACTATAAAATGCAAACGAAAACAGTTTCCTTGCGTTCCTGCTTGTGCCATCACTATTCACAAGTCACAAGGTGGGACGTTTGCTGTCATTGTTTATAAATACTCATCCAAGCAACCGCAACAGTTGGTGTACGTGGCGCTGAGTCGGGTAACAAGTTTAGAAGGCTTGCATATTATCACCGAAAAAGATGCTCCATTTCGGTTTAAACACGGACGGGAGGGAAACGATTCACAGACAACAAGAGATATCCGTAACGAATACATTCGACTTCGTGGACACACACTTCGAACAATTACTGATAATGCAGTAAAATTCTGTAATGACTCAAAGAATGCAGGACAAACTTTAATAACGAACCTTAATTCACAGAGTTTGCCTGCTCACTTTGCAGATATTGAAAAAGACACAGTGATTCCAAGGTCTGATTATTTGATTCTGACTGAAACGTGGATGCGTGACAATTGTGATCCAATTTCAATTGAAAGTTTTGAATGTGTAACCCGGCAGAATAATCGATCAGATTCTGAAACAAATGCAGCAGGTGGAGTGGCAATTTATAGAAACTTATCATCGACATCCACAGCCAAAATTCTCAATGTTGAACTTTCAGATACAACCCGCCTTATTAGAAACACTGGTGACGTTTGCTTAGCAGAAGTTACATGCTTCACCGCTGATACCACGTTCAAAATGGTTCTTGGCGCAGTTTATATTCATCCTGGAGCAAGTATTTCTAACATCAGTGTTCTGCTACATCAAGCACTATTTCCGTATGTTTATAACAGCCAGTATGTACATCCCATCATGGAAGTTGATACCGATATACCAATTCTTCTTTGTGGCGACTTCAACACAAATGTGAAAAATGACGAAACATTCATCAAATTCATGAAAGAAATGTTTAATGTCGATTGTGCATCAGACGTTAATAACTCAACAACATTAGGAGGCACCACCATCGATTTGACTTTTTCAAGACACATTAAACTCGAAACACTCCCTTTCATTTCCTACTTTTCCTATCATCGTCCTATTCTCAACAGAATAACACAGATTGTAAGAAATTAAATATAACACATGTTTAAAAGTTGTAAAACAATTGCTCAACGCACATTTATACTTATATTTATACTTTGTTTTAAAAACTATTAAATTGTAAAAAAAAAATTGACATAATTGTATTTATGCGTACAAATAAATCTAAATTGATCAACTTCATTGTGATTTCCAATTACCTCCTTCTCTATATACATACAAATCTATTAAACAAATGAAATTAAAATTTTCTTTTGAAAAATGCTACCATTCCATCAGCATTTTCTTAAGACGTTGTCACGTTCAACTATCGTCAGTAAACCGACTTTACAGACAACCGATTTTTTTAAATATATTAAGGCGGCAAACAAAACTGAAAGAGCGGGTCTCGCGAGCAATATTGCGCCCCGGCTCGCCCATGAATATTGTTAATAAAAAAATTACCGATGTAGCCGGGGCCACACCATTTCTGAACTAGTTTATTGTAATTAATATAATGTAAATTAATTAATTAATTAAAATAATTTATTTATTTATTATTATAATGTAAGTTTTGGGAAAATTTGAAAAATATGTACCTGGACACATGGCAGCGGAGTAGAGTATTATTAATAATTAATAAAAAAACAATAATACATTGTTATTTAGCTTCTGTTTCCGCGATATAGGTATTTAATGACATCTTCCCTTTAGTGACTGTAGCAATAAACATTTTCCTAACGATTTATAAAAAACTAATTGCACCCTTTTAACTAAAGTACTCTTCATCACAGCGTAACAACAATTAGACAGAAAGGTAGGAACGGGTTCTTTAAAAGGGTGAAGTAAAAGTGAAGAAGTTTTTTATGAATAAAGGGAATAATTTACATGTATGGTAACACTTCAAGTGTAATAAAAATAACTTCAAGTGCCTAATAACAATGAACAATTATAGGTTAAAACACAAGATCTATTAAACGATTCACGATCAAAACTACGACTACTCATGTTACAGTTTCCTAGTTTCAGCTAGATTATTAAATTTATTTTACCTGTCACCCAGTAATGAGCAGGCCCATCACCGCCGCTAACATCGTGATGAGATATTGGGTGATTGTCACCCGTCGTGTATGATGGAGCGGAGTTAGGTGATGAATCTGTAAAATGGTAATTTAAAATAAACTAATAAACTGGTTCAAAAGATTTTCAAAACCATTTCAGTTTATTTATAAGTGACGATTTTTACTGATAGGGCCCCATCAACAGAATTTTCTACGCGCCCCAGTAGGTATAGTTATGCCACTGTATTTATTATAAATAAAAATAAACATTGTCAGTTTTAACGACCACTTAACGAATCATTAGAAAAGTAGCATATAATTTACGAATGGATAGGTAAAAAATATCATTAAAAACTTACCAAAACTCGGAAAACTCATTGAATACGGCGTATTCATAGAAATTGGAATGGGTTGTAGCGGACTCTGCAACTGTAATATAAATAGTATGTTTAGTAACATTTCAAATAAATATGATTCAAACAAATTCGACTCCTTTTAATTGTTTACTGGCACAAATTTTATTCTATTTAATTTATTTATATAGTTTCTCTAAACGCTATGTGCAAAACTATTGAGATTTTTGTAGGTTTTATTTCACAAACACGTATCAATTATTAACGTTTTGATCAGTATATTATTTACCATTATAATAAATTATTATGTTATACGAATATTTAAAGTACCTATCTTGGAAAATATCACTAACCGATAATAAATTAAGAACTTTGTCTGTCTTGGGTTGCTCTAACTTGTAGGATACAACAAGTATCCTGATATACTACGACTACTAATAATTCAGGACCTTACTATTACATTATATTTTTTTAAGGTCTTTAGATGTAGAATATACTCGTATAATGCGGAAATGGGGCTGCGAGTGCCAAATAATCACACTTGGCGTGGTAAGCGGTCGCAATTGCTTGCAGTGCCTCGAGCGCGTACAAATTTACTCAAAGAAGCGCCATTTACGCGTGTCTTGCGCACCCTGAATATTATTGCATGTGAGACGGATTTATATATGTAGTATCACACTGGCTGAATTCACAGAATTGCCTATATAATTAGTTATACAAAGGTTTAGGTTTTATGTTTTGTTCATATTATTTTTTAGTTTAATTTTATATTTTTATTGTATTAGTATTAAGTTACTGTATAAATAGTAAATAAATAAAATTAAAAAATTTAAGCATTAAAAAGAGCAGAGGCTTAGGCGAACAAGTCTCAACACTGAGGTCATTCAATCAACTATATGGATTTTTATTTATATGTAAGCAATGAACACTTGCTCCTAGAGTAAAGGCGAACGTCTTGAGGACATCCAAAAATTAAAATTACCTACTCGTCTATAAAAATATAAATAATCAAAGACACGAATGAAATTCGAGGCCACGACTCAATAGAGGGACCACCCTCGATACACATTCATTCAGTTAATGTTTATAAATAACGTTATTAAATCATTAAAACACAGCTTAGGAGGTATTACCTAATAATAAAAAAACTGTTAAGTAATTAGAGATCGCTTAGTCTGTTGCATTTCGATTTTACAACCGTCGGAAAATTATGAATTCTTAGTTCAGTCAGGAAACCATTGAAATAGGGATATTTTTAATTTATAATTATTATTACTCATTATAATGTATGTGTTGGCTGGTTGGGTTTATCAACCCATACTTTTTTTTTCAACAAGACATACACTTCCGCTATTCCCTGTATTAACGAAGGCGTCAATTACAGGAAAACGAGTATTTATTAATTTTCCTGTAAGTGACACCTACTTAAACTCAGACTTTTGTAATGAGCTTATAAGGAGTAATTTTATAATAAATATTTTTCCTGACTAATGCCAATTGCATATTCTGTATTTAGAACAATACTAACTTAAGTTCATGCACGTGTCCTTACAAACGTTGTGTAAAAAAAAACATGGCGATTAAAAAGAGTGGCGGAGACTTTATTGCCAGTTCTTATCTTCCGTTCTACGCCCTTGATTTGAGAACTGGCACTAAATGTAAAATTAGAAGCATTAATATGTATTTCTTTACTGACAAGTCATAAGTGTACAATGTGTTACCCATATGATTAAACGATTTTTGAATTTGAATTTGTGTTGAATAAAATTTACTCTCTTTTTTCTATAATGTATTAATCGTCAAGAAAATATGTTTGTGTCCGTTTGTAAGGCAAGCAAGATTAAATTACGCGTAGGTGGAGAAACTGAGCTAGCTAGGACCACCATAGTACCACATCAATTTGCAAGTAAGGAGTTTTATTGGTTATTGCAACGGTTGTAAAATTTTAATCTGTAATGAAACAGTGCTAGCACGCTATTAAACTTCTTTAGAGCATAACTTAATATTTACACCCTATATTTGCTGATTGTGATAATGTAACTCATAAAATCGTAACCGTTATGTCTCAAGAGTTTAAGATTCGTGGAGTAACAATATATCGCGTAATTTATCGAGTATTTAAAACAAATATTTTTATTTTTTAAAGGCCGGCAACATACTCGAGAGACCTCTGGCATTAAGAGTGTCCATGGGTGGCGGTATCACTTAAACAGGTCAGCCTTCAGCCCGTTTGCCCCCTGTTCTATAATAAAAAAAGCAGCAGTGTTAGCCTAGTAGCTCCAGCGACTCCCATCCCTGAGGTCTTAAATTCGATCCTCGGCTGTGCACCAATAGACTTTCTATGTGCACATTTAACAGTCGCTCGTACTGTGAAGAAAAAATCATGAGGTAATCGACTAGTCTGATGAACAGATACGTGAATTGTCTCGAATTTAAGATTCGGCGCAAACTAGCTGCTGTGGTCTCTGGCAGAATGACCAGCGCTGTGGAACTTTCTGCTCCTCAGCATATTGCTGAGCCAGGGCCAATTACAACCACAGACACATTGCACACTTGAAGCGAACCGAATGGGAAAAGGGAATTTATTGAGAATATTTTTATTGTTTTTGATATGTCTTATTTTATTTTTTCTTTGACTATTGTTATTTTGTGTGTTTATGTGTGTGTGTTATGTAATAAATGTTATGTCTAATTTAAACTTGTCTCTGCAGTTAAATATTTAAAAGGTGGACTAATTCTATACATCTGAATACGATCATCAAAAATGAGAAGAGAGGAGAGTTTGTTCGGAAGGTTCACGGTATAAGGTCAAGTATGAGTTGGCGTGTGTGTTGGTCGTGCAGGGTTCAGTTCACCAAACGCATCCTAGCAATGTCTGTCCTGTAATATTTTCAAGCAGTCTTCAGATATAATGAAATTTGGAATAACAGAGATGTTAGAGGCGCCACCGGCTTCGGGGCACACGCTAAAGTATTTATGATTCAATTGTAATTAGAAAATTACCATTTGCAATAATTGATGTACCAATTAATAATTACTAATAACCTTTTTTAGATTTGTAGAGAGTAATGAAACTAAATATATGTTTTTTACGAATACGTTTGCTGTTGTATCATATTCTAATGATTATGTAAGTCATCGAAAAGTGTAATACGATTCTTGTAATCAGGCCAATGGCATTTACTATACGTAAATGTTAGCGTCTAAAAGAACACAATTGAATATTCATTCGAAATATTAAAGTGTTGATTTAAAATTTAACTATCGGTACCATTGTACCCCCATTAAACCGCCAAACCTAATGAGGTACCATTAGGTCTTATACATTTACATACAAATCAAAGCCAAATATCATTTATTAATGTACATTTATGAACGGCATGGCGGATAAATAAAATTAATAGTTAACAATTACTGCCAGTTCTCAAATCAGCCACGTAGATGTCCGTTGTACGCGGCTGGACTAGCAATAAACTGTTACTCATTTAAAGAATCATGAGAGCTTCTTTACTTTTCAAGCCATCGTCGTTATTTCAACAAAAATCGACACCCATACGAATAGAATATTTTAAAATACAAATAAAAATTGATTCAAATTGTTGTAGTTAAAACAAACAGGTCAGAGACGGAGATGAATTTGCTATAGTTTCTTAAGTTGCACTGGGTTCTCATCAGAACCTTCAGTGCTTTTATAATAGGGGGCAAACATGGATGACTCTCACTTGTGATAATACCACCCATACACTTACAATGGCAAATGTTTTATTTGAAAACATGAACGATAAGATTTAATTAAATCTTTATGAGAAGTCGTGAGAATGAAGCGTCACTATAGAAAATATTAAAAACTAAAATTGAAGACTGGCTAAAAATTATAAACGCTTTGATAAAAAACATATTCAGTAACAATTAAAATTTGTTTTTGTGTTTAATAATGCATTTAAGGAGGAATGTTATATGCTAACTAATAACGAAACCAAGAGATGGCGACAGTGGTTCTACAAAATCAGACTTTTAAAGATCTCTATCTCTCTCAATCTTTTTTTATACTGAGGTTGTAATTTAAAAAAAAAACAGTGACGCTACAACCACTTTTAGGTCTTGGCCTCAGATTTCTGAATCTTAGCCTCCAGTGCCTGACTCACGCCGTCGACTATTTGGATCTAAGACATGTCGGTTTCCTCACGATGTGTCACCGTTCGAGCGAATGTTAAATGCGCACATAGAAAGAAAGTCCATTGGTTGGGGATGTGTGGAAGTGGCTGGGGATCGAACCTACGACCTCAGGTATGTGAGTCGCACGCTGAAGCCACTAGGCCAACAGTGCTCACTGCTGCTTGTAACTTACTTGTACTAAAAGAAAAACTTACCTGTTCTTGTAATTGCTGAGTGATATATGATCCGAACGGCGACGCCTGGTGTTGAATGTTGGAGTGTGGCGAGCAAGCACTTCCATAGCCCAAGCTGGATGTCGGTTGACTTAGCCAACTCCTGAAATAAACATTTACTGCTGTGTAATAATCGTTTTTTGATATATAATAAGGATACAACTTTATATCGCCTTAAAACCTACTTGTGATATTACACCGATTTCTATAAAATTAATGTTTTTTTTTAAATTTTAAATGGAATTGTATTATTATTTATCAGCACATTCTTCAATAAATACATTTTCTGAATTCAAAATTTAATAAATATTAATAAAGAAACATGTTGTCTATGGAAAAAATTGTATCCTTCAAAGTTCTGCGTAGGCTAAGAAAGTATATCTCATATGACGTTTTCGTGGTTCATGAAAGATCACAGATAAGCAAATATCGCGGAAAATTACTAGAATGGTATTCATTACATAGCTCAAACGTACGCAAAATGCCGCGCTATGTGCTGATATCAAGGTGAAAAAACTACGTTTATTGCAACAATCTTGCTTTTTCTTTTGTTTAGAATTGGAACAGGAAGTGTTTTCGAATGTATGTTGTAAGAAAATATTAATACAATCATATTGTATTTTCGACGGTGTCACCTGGTACGAATTCACCGATTATTTGAAGTACTACCCCCAAATGGAGCACGGGACAGGCAAAATTGCAGCTGTTTAATTTATAACATTTAAGAAAAAATAAGTTCACTTATTAAACTTTGCTTAAAAGCGAAATATATTATATAATAGCAGTATTGGCCTAGTCACTTCAGCGTGCGACTGTCATCCTGAGTTTGAGTCTAACATTCGCATCTAACATTCGCTCGAACGGTGAAGGAAAACATTGTGAGGAAACCGATATGTCTTAGACCCAAAAAGTCTACCGCGTGTGTATGCACAGGAGGCTGTTCACCTACTTGCCTATTAGATTGAAAACTGATTATGAAACAGATTCAGAAATCTGAGGCCCAGACCTAAAAGAGGTTGTAGCGCCAATGATTTTTTTTATTTAAAAGCGAAATCATCTGCTGTGTTTACTAAAAAACTGCACCAAAATATCTATTATGATAAGTTGGGTCGACATGTGAGTACCTACTACTTTTCTCCTGAATTTTTTTATGCTTCCCAGCCATGTCTTGTAACATATTATAATTGTGTTCCACTTTTCTAACTTCCTCCTAAACCTTAAAGATGTTATACATAATAACCAAGAGCGATCAAACTGTCAGTATCAGAAGCCTGATACCCTTAATCATAAAAAATAAACCGGCCAATTGCTATCTTTTGCGTAAAGTTCTCTTATGTCTTGTGTTTACAAAATACTGAAAAGAGACCAACATGTACTTCTTAGACGTAGTAGTTCTTGTAAGACGGTTACAATTATTATTATTTTTTTTTTAATAAGAAGTCAAGTCATTTATAAGTAATTGTTAAACTTATTTTCTAAATATTCGGTCACGCTATAAAAGCACCCTGACTTCAAAAACCTAATCACCTTCCCCTTAAAAACATTACATGGCATCGATCTATAATTTTTAGGAAGGTGATTAAATATTCTCACAGCCATGGCGTAACAATTTTTGGAGTATAGCGCGGTACAACATGCAGGCACCCGCAGCCGCGTTGGATCCCTCGGTATATACAAGCAAGTTTCTTTGTAAGTTTTAAATAATTGTGGATGCTTCTTGACAGTCATAACTGCTTCAAAGATTGAAACTTGGTACTGTCAGAATACCGAGTTCGTGGAAAATTGGTCTACAGCTTATTTATATAATTATTATGAATAAAGGAGATAGCATATTTTGGGCATCGTAAGAAGGATAGTGAGAAAACCGAGAAATCCAATTTATTAATCGGTTTAATTTTAGAACTTAACACGTAACGTTAGTAACGACCTACTAATACTTTATATTCACTGTAGAATTAATTGTTTAAGATCGGACCTTTAATAACTCTGGACATGATATAACGATCAGAATAAATGATTATTACATTGTGATGTTTAATCCAAAAATAGACCAAATGCGGATTAGTAACGGAATTCGGCGATTTTTGGTCTCATATAATACGTTCCTGCAGTAAGAGCCATAATTGGCAGACATTACTAATGACATTGGAACAAATGATAATAGTACACAAGAGTAGTTCGAACTATAGTTAAAAATAGTACAATATGATTTTACTTAGCCTACCTTTTTAGTACATATACCAAGATGGACCATTTTGCTATGCCACCCCAGATACTGTTCGGTTTTTTGGAATGAAAACTTTTTTGGGGATTTCTGTGAATTTTTCTATATAAGCCTCAGAGTTCAAGTCATAAGATTTTAATTAACAAATAAAAAATATGGGTTGATCGTAGAGGGCTGAAAATTAAGGAGTGTATATATTTTGTATAAAATAATAGACAAAAAAATTTATCAAATAAATACAGATAAAAATTTAGGGGTGGACCACCCTTAACATTTAGGGGTTTGAAATATAGATAGTAGCCGATTCTCAGACATACTGAATATGCATAAAAAATTCATAAGTATCGGTCGAGCCGTTTCGGAGGAGTATGGGAACTAAACGAACATTATGACACGAGAATTTTATATATTAGATTAATACAAATGTCCCAGTAGGACAATAGGTCACGTAGCGAAAGGATAGAATATACCTCTAAAATAACGATAAAGTGAAAAATATTCACATAACACCTTGTATAATATGTCACTAAATATAAAATGCTATAAAATTGTCATTTTGCAATCATAATAATATATAATCGGTTACCGGGCCACCTCTTGACATTATTTATCACTACAAAAATAAGAAAAACACAATGGCGGGCGAAGATAGTCATTAAAATGTTTTTTAAACGACACGTGTCAATATAATTAATAGACAATGCTAAGAAAGTAAGAAAAACTTTAGTATACACAATATAATATATGTAAAATAAAGTGCACTACACTAAGATTCCCTGTGTCGTGGGCAGCTATGGTCATCCATTTGACATGTTAACTGTACTTGACAAAAATGTCTGCATAACACATTTATTTTCTGTATCAGCATAGTATATGTTGATATTTAATGTGAGTTTTGAAATGTTAGTGAAAATTTTGTATATAGTGAAGTTAAAGACGAAAGGAAGGAGAAAAAGCTTTGGGCGAAATATTTGCGTTTTTTGGGTTGCTTATATTCAAATTCAATTCAAAAGTTTGAACCCCAAAAATAGAGTTTTAAAGCTGTTTTAGCATCATGAGAAACCATGTCTCCCCATCCCTCATGTTGACCCAATATTATAACCCATATTTGCTGTACTTAGTAAATACTATATATAGTCAATAAACGCAGAATGTTAATTAAAGAACAGGAATTCACCTGAAATTCAGTCAAATGAACAATGATTGGTCTCAAATCCTAAGTATTAGTTCTAAAATAATTCTGACTATTCGTAATCCGCAAAACGAGTCCATCGATTCAAATGGAACTGCGAACTTTTCATCAATATATAATAAATGTATATATTAAAAGCATACCTTTTCATGTAGCTTATTATAAAAACTAAAATTTAAAACGGATCGACTTGTTTGCTAATAATAACATCTTTGAAATCAATATTACAGCATCGAGAATGCGTATAACGTATTAGTAATTCAGAATTAACTTAGCTTAACTTAACTTAACTTAACCAGCTTAGTATTGCTGACGTAGAGCTTCAAATCTTGAATCGTACAATAAACTTTACTAGAAATTTCCAACGTATTAAATTTCTCTGCAAACATTCATTTTCGATATTCATTTTTCATAGGTAGTGATATAGATCTCAATCATTTAGGGCTCATATTTCTGTATCTGTTTCGCGATCATTTGTTTTTTCTAATAGGCAAGTAGGCGGTCAGCCTTCTGTGCCTGGTTGCCCACGTCGACTTTATGAGTGTAAGGCTTGCCGGTTTCCTTCAACGTGCAGCCAGGATCGAACCTACGACCTCAGTCAGTCTCACAACATTGCTATCTATCATAATTATGCAAGGTTACAAAATATTAAATTCACTACATGTCTTTTTATAGTATCAATATTATAAATAATTCAAATATAACGATATTAAATGTAATTTATTGTAAATGTGTGTTTTTTTTTATAATAGGAATAATAAGTTAAAATTTATTTAAATTTATAGCTACAATATCTTTTTTCTAGTACAAGAGAAGCCTCATATAAAAGCTTGTATTCAACTTACAAAACTTTGCGGTTAAAAATTTGTAAGCTGGAAACTTCTCTAACTCTTGAACGAAATAAGAATAGTTCATAAATGCTATAAGATTGAAGCGTTTGTTTTGTAAACTTGTAATGCGAAACATAAATATTTATTATAATTAATTAATTTGTTTTATTATTTGTCACAGGCGGGTTACTGTTACATTTATGGGTCGTTGTTAACGTAAGGTTATATTAACAAAGGTTAGTTATTGTTTATTAAACGTCATTACTTTCTTGTAACAATTATTACGACAATTATAAGCGTAAATAATAAAAGGTAACTAATTTTATTTAATTAATATTAAAATACATTTCTAAATAATATATGAATCTTATCAAGGTATGAACTCGGGAAGAACACTATTTGCTGATATCATTGGTGACGTGCGACATGATTTTGTTTTTGTTATAAAAACGGGAAAAACTCGAATAACGCTGTCAGAAAAGCCACGGATATTACCCAGTAACTGCTCCTTGACCTAGTGGTAAAGTGATAACTCTATAGAGGTCAGATGTCGAATCCTATTGATAACAAGATTTAAGTAAAAAGAAATTAAAAGAATCTCAACGAGCACATAATAATAATGTATCAATTGCACAATATAATTTAATATTGGTTTCACACGTAAGTATGGCGTGCTGTTATCGATTCCCATTTTGAAAATTTTACAATTATTTGCAAAAGACTTAAGTTATGTTGGGCTGAACATAAAGTATTCCTTACCGTCAAACACAATATTAAATCTCATAATAAATAGTAAAACATCCTTCACACCATGTATAAATAAGAACTATTGATTTCGCATCCTTCAGAAAAATCAAAGTTAAAGTTCGGTATCCTTAGAAACTTCAAATTCTTCGATTATTTCTATTGTGTTTTAATTCATCATTAATATGGTCGTCAAATATTATTCAACTCGCATTTGTTTATTATTACATAAAAGAACTACTTACGGGTCAAATGGAGGATAAGAAGGTGAGTAGGTGCCAGGCCCGAAGTAATTTGCGGAAATGGAAAGGGACTGCACATGCGGTTGGCCCATTGGACCCGTGTGGTAAGTTTCTCCATACAGTCCTTTGCCATAAGGAGTTCCACGGAAAGGTCTCTTCATCCGGCGGCGCCGTCGGAAATTTCCATTTTCAAACATGTCACCGCATTGTGGATCTAAAACAATGCTTCACTCACAACATAGTATAATTTTTATACCTCAAATCGCAAGCCAATCGCATCAGCATTTCGCAATACTTTCGCATTTCTTATCTATGGGAAGTACTTCCGAGGGAAACAATGGTAATTCTTTACCCCTGTTATGAAATATGCCCAAAAACTACCATTGTTTTAGTTAAATTTGAAGCTTTCTTACCAAGAGTCCAGTAATTGCCTTTGCGTTCGCCACCGCCCTCCCGTGGTACTTTGACGAAGCATTCGTTAAGACTCAAGTTGTGTCGAATGGAATTCTGCCAGCCTTTTTTGTTCTTTTGAAAGTATGGAAATTCCTTTGTAATATATGCGTAGATTTCACTGAGAGTCGCCTTTTTCGTTTCGCTATTTTGTATAGCCATTGTTATGAGCGCTACATAGGAATAGGGCGGCTTCGTTGCTTCTGAATTTGTGGTAGATTTGTCTGAATTTCCCGAACTGGAACTTGATGTTGCATCTACTTTCGGTTCGGAGTTACTATAAATTCGTAAAAACACAATTTATTTTTAGAAAACTATTCATGGAATTGCAATTAACTGAATTAAATATTTATTTTATCAGAATGTTCCATTTCTATCGCCCACATGCCTTGTTGGCCTCGCGCAGCCGTGGAAGTGCTAAGTAGCAAAATAATAGTTATTCTTGGAAGTAAATAACTTTATTTAAACTTTAAAATGAGATTTAAAACGAATACCAAAGAGGGACTTGTGGGCGCTATTGATATCTCGATTTCAATATAAACAAACATAATTCAATTAAATCGTTACCATTAAATATTTTCAGAAAAGTTAGCGAGTGAAAGATCTTTTAAAAAACTAGGAGAAATAGAGTATGTACGGTATAACTTAATCAATATTAACAGTTTACTATTCTTTATTTAAAAATTCGATGGTAACTACATTTTATATCAATGAAACCTAATGTTACCTTATAGCATCAGACATCGTGGTAGACACGGCTGGTATGGACTTCATTCTAGAGATGAGCGGAGAGTTCCCTCTTTCATAGTGATTGCAGGATCTCTCTAGCCTTTTATCTATAATATAAAACACATAATCAGAAAATGATTAAACAATAAAGCACAATATATAACCGAATTCATCGCTACAGTCCTTTTAATACCTTTTGGTTTCTGACGTTTCACAATACGAGAGAAAGTGTATAAAACTCGAGCATGTGTTGTATTAAACTCAGAAGTAAAAGACGTAAGCGGTATAATTATTTACACTATGTCTAAGCTTTGTAGAAAGTTTGATAAATAAATAATACGCCATTCCTAAAAAAGTAATTTATAATTCTAATCAATTACCTCTATATGCAAGTGACAAGTTGCATAATTGATTTATATGAAAGCAAAGAAGAAAGAAAACCTTCATTCTGTAATTTTTACACTTAAAGAGATGTTTGGTATGTAACTAGGCAAGTAAAGAAATCCTTTCCTGTAAGAATTCCTTAGATTAGATTCTTTAGATAATTAAATATCTATTATGTGTTAACTGATGATTCATTTAATTTGTTTGTTAGTCTGTGGAGTACGCTAGTTTTGGCTTGTCATTTAAATTTTAATTCGAAGTTTTGTTAGAAAATTTTGGTTTATAAAAGAAATAGGATAAAAGTGATTGTATTTCAAGTAAACAGGCAAACTCTAAATGTTGTTTCTTAAAATACATATTTCAGCAACACATTTGAGTTTCATTCTCCATAAAACAATAAAGTTATATATATAATGTATATATATGAAACCAAAGAAAAAAGAAAATCTTCTTTCTTTATTGTTACACTTAAAGAGGTGTTTGGTATATATCTAAGTATTAGTCTTAGTCACCTCAATCACACCTGGCCTACGTGTGGTTTCAATGACTTTACTACCTACGAATCGTTTGTATATTTTTTTTCTATACAAACGAACGGCTGCCAAATGCGCTTTCTATACAAAAATCTTTAACTGAGTCTAAACGGAAGTACGCCTCATATTTTAGACATAAAGCCCTTATTTATTTTAATAATATTAACAAATAATAAAAACAATAATTGTTTCGAATTCTGTGTCTACAAACTATAACTGACTTGCCTTAAAATTTTTAACGATTTCCTATTAATTTAAACATACTTAATCATTATATATAAACATAATTATATATATAGTTGTGATAGTATGAATAACATTCGATTGTTATACAAAAATTATTTGTTCTTCAACCCTTGATCTCATATACGTATGTATCTGTTTTGATTACATCCCCCATTTCATTTCCTAATTATTAATTGGTTTGAATGAGGCGTAGCTACTAGGGCAACACAGCTGAATTAAAATTAAAGGCTGATTAATTTTAGCAGCAAGCAATACAATATAGGTTGTTTGGAAGGCGTGCGGTATCGAACGTGCCTCCCGATACGGTTTTCTTAGAATCATTTGTTTCGTTATATTTGAATAATGAAAACAATTTCGCTCGTGCTCACTCAAATATTTAAAATTATATCAATTTCACACTATATTTATTTATATACAATGTTATTGTCCTTGTAAGATCCGTTGCAAAATAATTATTTGTATGTGTTATGCATGGAACACTTGCCGGAATGATTTCAGGTATTGGGTCCAGGACTTACATGTTTCCTCACAGTGTCAAAGTTTAACTGCATTAATACAGAAAGAAAAGACATTGGTGCCTAGCCAGGGTTTTAACTTACCTACTCAGGGTGGTAATGCAATGCGTTTAGCTACAGATGCTATATTAAGCATAATTATATAATATAAGGTCATTTTTAAGAATCATTCTAACTTAGAATTTACAAATCTAGTGATGTTAAAGTGTTTCGATATTTTTTTAAAGAAGTATGTAAAATACTATAACAAGTTTAACAGATAAATGTTTATTTAAAATACTTAATAAGTTATTTCTTTATTTGATTTCCAGTATTCCCCTAGTTATTATAGTTAATGCAAAAAAAAACTAAATGCATTAAATTTTGTGCAAAAAATGCAAGGGTTAAGGATAAAAGACCAATTAAAAATGAGGAATTGAATCTGGATGATACAACTGTAGTTGTTGAAATCACCATGGATTCAAAACTTCAGTGGTCACTTCATATTAACGGATTGGCGAAGAGACTTAGTTCTGCAGCTTACGCGGTTAAAAAAAATTCGCTTACTAACTAATGTCGATACAGCTAGACTTGTTTATTTTAGTTACTTCCACAACTTAATGACTTATGGCTTATTATTATGGGGTCATTCTGCTGATGTCGAAACTATTTTCATCCTACAGAAGTGGGCTATTCATGCAATCTATAATTTAAAATGTAGGGAATCTCTGAGAGATAAATTCAAGGAAATTAATAAACATACCTTTCCCTCGTAATATATTTATGAAAATATTATGTAAGTATACAAAAATAGTGATAAGTTTACTAGAATAGAACATGCGCACAATGTTAATACTTGGACCAAACGCAGACTGCAATTTCCCCGTACTAGACTACCCGTGCTTACTATAAAGTTAACGATAACCTAGTTGATAAAAGGGCCTGGCACTAGCTAAACAGGCTACTTCTTATTAATTAGCGATATTTTTTTAAAAATAGTTTTAAAAGCGTTGTTCGATGATTTGCTATTTTAAAAGCGTACCGAGTTTTTTCACCGGCTTTTTCACTCGGCCTACACCCTCTGTCTTATTAACCGATGAGTAGGGATGTCTACCGATTCACATTAAATGACGTGGAATAAGTGATATGTATCTTATATTCCATAATAAACATGTTATATTTTTTTATTATATGTCTTCACAATTGACAAAAGCCATAAATGGTATACATATTTAAACATGTGTATATTGCACAGTTAAAAATTCTTAGATAATACGTAAAAGAAAAAGACAATAATTCAAATTAAACACTCCTTTATCGATTCGATCGTTAAGATGATTCGCAATGATTCGTATCTACTATTTAACCAATTGCCGTTAAACTTAAAGTTCGTCCAAGTCGGAGTCCCAAACTCTAAAGTTGGCATGTCTTATTAGACATCAAAAAAGTACTTATCCCTAGCCCAAAGAAAGTGCATTGAACATAATGAATTGCGCCACCTATGTTTAGCAGCTAGCACATATCGGCGTATTCAATTTTTTGTGCACCTGCTAATTATTAATTATTGATTCAATATCACTGCGCACGGACATTCAATATGCTCATGCCCAATGATATTTCGTCGTGAACATATTTGTTAATAAATTATTGCAATTCGAATCATTCTTCGCGCACTGAAATTTTTTCAGCTTCATTGGTGATTGATAAGATTTTGCGTATCACGCGTGCTAAGTGTTGGAATGCGTCAGTCGACAAGTCGGTATCGTGTTCGAAGCTGCGAACAGCACTGTGCATTGTGTCGCATATAGAACAATGCATCGTATTTATAAAACATTTAAGACCGTATCGTTCGTGAAATTAATAACAAATAACAATTGTGAAGCGTTAGGTAGCGCGGTGCGAATTGCCCGAGTCGTTGAGTAACGTAGATTTTTTTTCCGATTACGCGATTGTTCTTACGTAGGTTGATAACATTGAAGTAATTTTGAATTTATCGAATCTCGTTGTGTAATGATATAAAATCATTTTATGAATTTAATTCACTAAATTGCACAAATAGAGAGATATTAGACTACACTTGAAACAGTGTAATTGGACTGATAGATAGAGAATAATCGTTATAATATACAAATTAAATAATACATGTGATAATTTTAGACATTTAATTGGGTTTCATTAAAAAAGTACCGTCTCACTTCCCTATTCATACAAATAAAACGGATAAAATTCTCCTGAAATTGATGTTCGTATTAAATGAGTAAATTCGAAATACGGCACTTACAAAAAGTACACATGCTTTATAAACTTACATTATTTTCCTTTTAAAAGTTCATTTGTCAAAAACCACTAGTTACTTTAATTGAAATAAAATATCAGTTACGCTACAACCCTAATTGGGTCTGGGCCTCAGGTTTCTGAATCTGTTTCATGATCAATGATAAATCAATCACGTCAATCTAAATAGGTGGCGTGTGTTTTTTGGGCGTCGACTTTTTGGGTAAAAGGCAAGCTGATTTACTCACTATGTTGTCCTTCACCATTCGAGCGAATGTTAAATGCGCTCATATAAAGAAAGTCCATTGGAGCACGGCAGGGATCGAACCTACGACCTCAGGAATGAGCGTCGTACGCTGAAGCCACTAGACGAACACTGCTTAATCAATTCAATATACCTACTTATATTCTAAGCTTAAAATAAACAGTCGCCTTTAGTTAATTATTCTATGTGAAACGAATAATCGCCCAATTAACACAACTTTTCATCATGCCCTAGGCTAATACGACCCCTTTTCTATTTATAACAGATAAGTACAGCCAAAGTTTTATGTTACGATGTTTAAATCTTTTATTTCGTGTAACGATTACGAAAAGGGGCAAGATCTAGCCTTGAGCAGAGTAATACTATATTTCCGCTTAATTAACTTACAATATACCTACCCATTAATTTAATATTACCCCAAGCTATTATGAAACGACTGGTTAAGATGGCTTGTCATTGCGAATTTTAATAGTACGGGAAGGCCTTAGCACTCAGGTGTTGATAATGTTTTTGACAGCTCGAACATCAACTTTTCAATCAATTTTTAGGTCTGGATCTCAGACTTCTGTATCTGTTTCACGATAATTTGTCAATCTAATAGGCAAGTAGATGATCAACCTCCTGTGCCTGACAGACGTCGTCGACCTTTTGAGTCTAAGGCAAGCCGGTTTCCTCGCGATGGTTTCCTTCCCCGATCGAGCGAATGAAAAATGCGTACCTAGAAATATTGTCCATTGTTACAAAGCCGAGAATCGAACCTATGACCGCACAGTGAAGCCACTAGTCCAACTCTGTGTGTAATAGAAAAGTAAAAAATACATCTGTTAAATAAATAATTAAAACACATAATGGGCTTAAACTTAAATGATAATACATGTGATTTAGTTTCTATAACATCCGTAACACTATTCCTTTGGAATTAGTACATATTAAGTGTTAGTTTGCAGAAACGAAACGAATGATATTTTACAAAATCTAATTTATTCAGTCAATAGCCTAAAACTTTTGCACGAATGAAAATAAGTTATAATTGTGTTAATTAATGTAAATAATGAATAATTGCAAGTAAACATTGCGAATGGAGTCCCCGAGGCTTTAGATAGTAAAAATGTGGAGTACATAATTAATATAATATGTAGTAGATAATTATAATAATGATAGTTTAAATATAACATTTTAATGGTAGTAGATTAGAATACATAACGATATTTCTTATCATACAGCTAATCTTGGTACTATTTATTAAAGATC